ACTCCATGTCAGTGATGCGGGTATACCGCTAAACTTGTAAGGGTGAGTTAGCCAGTCAGGGGTGAGCAAGAAACTGAACTCTGGTATTCTAATTCAAGGCTGGAGCTCTTTCCCCTGAATAAAGCCTGAAGTCTGGCTGCACACAGGAGTCATCTGGGAAGCTTTTAAAAGACATACGGATGCCAAATAGACGTTTCTTCAAAGAAGACATACAATGGCCAACAGATATTTGAAAAAAATGCTCAGCTTCATTGATCATCAGGCAAATACAAAGCAAAACCACAACAGTCAGGATGGCCATTATCAAAATAGCAAAAGACAACAAGTATTGGTGATGGCATGGAGAGATTGCAACACTTGAGTACTGTTGATGTGAATGCAAGTTAGTGCAGCTGCTATGGAAAACTGCATAGAGATTCCTCAAAAGATTAAAAATAGAATTACCTTATGATCCAGCAATCACATTTGTTTGTGTTTATCCAAAAGAATGGAAATTGTGACCTTTATGACGTATTGGTGCTCCCATGATCATTGTAGCATTATTCACAAATGGAGAAGAGGTGGAAACAACATAAATGTCTATTCACAGATTGATGGATAATGAAAATGTGGTATATACACACAGCAGACTACTATACAGCCTTAACAAATTTTGATATATGCAACAATATGGAGGAACCTTGAGGACCACTATGCTAAGTGAAGTAAGCCAGTCCCAGAAAGACAAATGATTCTACTTACATGAGGTACTGAGAGTAGTCAAATTCATAGAATCAAAAGTGGGATAGTGGTGACCAGGGGTGGGGGGGGTGGTGGTGGTGGGGAAATAGGGAAAAAAGATTCAGGCAGGTCAGATGAGTAAGTCAGTCAACAATACTGTATTGTACACTTAAAAAATTGTTAAGCTCTCCTGTTAAGTGTTCTTACCACAATAAAAGCGATATTGATGCTGATGCTGGGACAACCTTCAATTTGAACTTGGTTGGTCTAGGGTAGGTGGGTGGGGCCCAGGCAGAAAGGGTGAACATGGTACAATGACACATAGTTGTGGCTGTACTCTGCTCTTAGTAGCATTTGCTGTTATCGTTGAGCACCTGGGATACTAGTTACTTTGCAGCGGTTTTGCTGAGCCCTCCTAGGACCTTGTGAAGTAGGTATTGTCATCCCTGCTTGAGAACTGGGGAAACAGGGAAGTGAAAAAAAAGGGAAGCCACTTTCTCTAGGTCATCTGGCTGGTGGTCACTAGTGCCTGAATTCAGCCCAGGTCTGTCTCATACTCTAAAGCCCATACTCTAGCTGCTGTGTCACATGGGCTCCAAAAAGGGGCTTCTGTGTACCACAGCATGGCTGTCACATGCTCTTTCCTTGTACTTCTCTGACCTTTCATCTTCAGGGTCAATAGTGTAACCTTTGTCCTGGACCTGTCCATACCAAACCATCATCATGCAGATGGGGGAAGAAGCAACTTGTTACTTACCACTAAGGAAGATGAACTTTCTGGTGGAATGGGTTTCCTGGGGAGGCAGTAGGCACCCACCACCATCCCTGGGCTCACACCACCATCCCTGTGCACTCAGCACATCCCTGCCCACACACCACCATCCCTGATCCACCACCACCATCCCTGGGTACTCACTGCCATCCCTGGGTACTCTCTACCATTCCTGTTCACCCCAAACCATCCCTGGGTACCCACCACCATCTCTGTGCACCCAGCATCATCCCTGCCCACTCACCACCATCCATGATCACCCACCGCCATTCCTGGGTGCTCATTTGAAGGATGTGTTGGGAGGGGAAGTGTCATCTCTCAAAGGAGTGTGTGTGTGTGTGTGTGTGTGTGTGTGTGTGTGTGTGTGT